AATGCTTGTCCTGACCTTTTCTGTGACTGGTTTGGATCCTCTGCTCTATCTCCTGCAAACAGAGAGAACCTCAGAAAACATTGCTTGAAGGAACTTTGGAGGTCGCCGCGGTCTGCCGCCATGCTGGGAGACTGTCACCAGAGCAGAGCAAGGAATGCGTCCCTCAGGCGCAAGTGTCACGCTGCCATCTGAGAAAATACGAAGGAAAAGGAGAAGAAAACTCAAACCCAAACCCTAAGATATCTTAAGAGCATTTTCTGGGGTTTTTCTTTTACCCCGTGGCAATAGTTACATAAAGAGATCATGTCCTTGCTTAAAAGCACTTGTCATTCCCCTTCCTCTGAAATTAGATTTAAACTTCAACATTTATCTTAATTAACAGTTCACCTACAGAAGTCAGGAGCAGGGTGTTCACACATCCCTGCAACACAGTTTAAAAAAATAAAAAAAATAAATTCCCGTCAGAATTAAAAAAGGCAACACGTTCCACTTATTTTCCATGCACCAAAATCTCGTGCTTTCCGGCAGAAACAACACGCCATCTTTTTCCATTTGAAAGGGACTGGTTAGTTCTCCAGGCTCCTGCACTTCTCCCCAGGCAGATGGGTTTGCGTTTTCAGCAGGTGGAGCTCCGGCAACCTTGCGCAGGACTGCACTGTCCAAATGTCCGGACCGAGGTCGTGGGCACGCTCCCGTCGCATGGAGGGCCCGGGCCATTCTGGGACGTTTCTCACAGTGACCTACCCTCAGAGCAGCATTGCATGTGGAGGAAAACCCTGGCATAATAGCAGGTGTGTATGACAGCAAAACTGCTGTCTCTCCTATGAGATAAATGCTGCTCGTTTGGCGATGGGACTAGTTTTGGGAATCCACGTGACCGAAGACTATCTCCTTGAGTAAATTCTGGCTCTGTACTAACTGCTTTGCATGCGTTCTCTCATCAAATCTGCACCCTAATCTTATGGTGGACAATTTTATTATTTCCATTTTACAGATGGGGAAACAGACAGAAACAGGTGGACTGGCATGCCCAAGGTTGCAGAAGTCCTAAGTGGCCTAAGTGCCCAGTCTTGCTCAATTTCTTGTGGTCTCTGAGCTGAGGTGGCTACACACTGGAGCAAACTGTGGTCTGAGCTGAGGTCACAGTGCGTGGGGTTCACGGTAGGTAAGGTCATTCATTTTCTTGCTCAGTCTTGATACAAAAGGAATCTCAGAGTGCTGTTTCTTTTTCTTTTTTTCTTTCTTTTTTTTTTTTGACCCTTAATATGACATACACCAAAAATTCTGTGTCATGTGTCTTATGTAAGACTTTCCTAGTGCATAGTCTATTAATGAGAATTACATCAGTGTCATTGGGTTCTGTCACTTTTCCATGTGGGTACAGCACCATTTAGAAACTCATTGTATTTCCAGAAATCACAGTACACTGCCCCCCCCCTTTCCCCACGTCTGTCCTCCTAGTAAATCTGTCACTGTCCCACTGCACACTCCCTCCTAGAGCCCTGCCATCAGGCTGTCTCCCTGGTCCTCCTCTGACATTTTTCTCACAATTGGTTCCATTTCCAATAAACCAAATGGAATTTTCTGTCTCTTATCTTCCTCAAGCTCCCTGAATGTTCCATGACTCATTTGCTCTTTCTTCCTGGACGTCTCACCGCCCTTGGCTGCTGCTGATTCCTTGCCCCTTTCAGCTCCTCCTGTGTGCCTCTAAGGTGGGTCTCAGCCCTCTCTGCTCTTTTCTTTGTCTCTCTCGAATGTTCCTTGAGTAGGACAGCTGAGCTGTCTCCCGTAAGCCAATGTCATCATGTCTACATCTCAATCCAGAATCCCAAACTGGGACTTGCAACTCCCTGCAAGAACACCTGCACTTGGAAGAATGTTCTAAAGTCACTCACAACATATATAACACTAAACCTACAAGCCCGCCTGGCCAAAACACAGCTCTGAGCAGCTCTGTTAGCGTCCAGGGCCTGCTAGGGACCGCCACTTGGAGCTCAATAAAATAGGAATGTTTGAGCAAGCCTGGCACAGAAAGGGTACTCCACAAAACCAGCTTCCTCGCCCTCCCTTCTCCCTCCACCCTGTGTTTACTCAGCATCGGGTCTCTCTGCTGGGGAAGGAAACACCAGCTTTATCCCATGCCATCCATTCTGTTTCCGCCCCCCAACCCTTCATCCATTGGGCCTGCACCTGCCTCCCAGGCTCGACTTTCTCCAGTTAACTTTCTAATCTATGGCTCTCACTCTGCCACTTTGCTGTGAAAGCAATCACACAGCTTCCGTGTTACCAGTTAAATTAGGTCAAAACCCTTTAGTTTGACTGCCAAGCTCCTCCATCAAGGGGGCCCCTCATTCACTCAATACACCCAGCCCATGCCCGGGAGGGGGATCTCCTCCCTGCGGCCCACTGGGCTGCCCTCTCCTACTCTGCCCCCATCTCTATGTCTTGCTCACATGGCTCCCTCATCATATACACTTCTCCCATCCAGAGTTTACATTTCCTTCAGGATCTAGCTAATCCGTAAAGATTGTCTTGCTTTCCACAGTTCAAAATGTTTTTTTTTTCCCTTGGAATTCCTCTAGTATTTATTGTCAAGATTGTGCATCTTTTAACTAACATTAGTAGAGTTTGTTGAGTTCTTACAATGTGCAAGCTTTGAGTCAATCTCTCCTAAAAATAACTCCAAGAGATAAATGTCAACCCAATTTTGTGAATGAAAATACAGGTTCAGAAGGTGAATTTGCCCCAAATGGCATCTGGGATTTGAACCAGGAAGCCTGACTCCGAAGTTCTCAGGCCTCCCAACTGCCCTTTATTTGTTTCTTTTTGTCATCCAAAGTATTTAATGCTAAAGATAGTTTATTATACTATTTTGTTTCTTTTCCAGTGGGCTAAGGCCTGAGCTCATGATATTTAGTAAACACTCACTTATTTTGGCTTCTGGCTTCCAGAGTGAATGATCCCATGACCCCAATTAAGTTAAGCAGTTGATGAAACGAGTGGTCACACCAGGATTATTTGCCTGATTAATAACAGAGAATACAGCATCCCTCCTTATCCATGGGGAACACGTTCCAAGAGCCCCAGTGGGTGCCTGAAACCACAGGCCGTACCAAACCCTTCATATACTATGTTTTTTTCCAATATGTACACACCTATGATAAGGTTTAACTTATAAATTAGGCCTAGTGAGAGAGTAACAATAACTAACAATAAAATAGAACAATTATAATAATACACTGTAATAAAAGTTATGTGAAAGTGGTCTCTCTCAGAATATCTTATTGTTCTGTACTCACCTTTTCACTTAAAGGAAGCACTTTTGGGCTGGCCAAGTGGTGCGGTTGGTTAAGAGCTGACTTGGGATGCCAGTTCTGAGCAGCAGGGCCCCAATTCGGATCCCACATGGTAGTTAGTGACACTGCCCTCTACAGCTAAGATGGAAAACAACAGCTCCACCTGGAGCTGGCTGCCGTGAGTCACCGGCGATGGTGTAGGCTGCAGCCCCTGCTGCAGTGGGCTGCCATAAGCTACCGTGTGTGGCTGGCAGCCAGCATGAACTGCCAAGAGCCACCATGAGAGGCCATCCAGAGGCTGGAGGCCGATCTGCCTCACCCAGGAAGAGTGCAATGATAATACCAACATGGGTCAGTGAAGCAATGTCCTCCACAACTAGACTGAAGAACAAAACAACAGCAACTCGTCTGTTCACCTTCCCCCGATTCCCCAGTGCTGTTCCCCTCCCCCAATTCCCCAATAAAATCTTTAAATAAATAAATAAATAAATAAATAAAGGAAACACTTTTATGCCTTACCTTTGGCATATTTGAGTTGTCAGCATCACTACTGCTGCACTTTGGGCCCATCATTAAGTAAAATAAGGGTGACTTGAACCAAACACTGAGATGTCATGATCTGATGCCCGAGTTGGCTCCTAAGTGACTACAGTCTACAGTACAGAGACTGGCCAGAGGCATGGTTCACGTCCTGGGTGGGACGGAGTGGGACAGTGTGAGACTGCATCACACTACTCAGGACCACGTGCGATTTAAAACTTATGGATTGTTAATGTCTGGAATTTTCCACTTAATATTTCAGACTGCCATTGACAGCAGGAAAGTGAAACCATGGCTAAAGGGGGGACTATTGTAATAAGTGGCAGGTCAAAGGGACCACTGACATTCTGACCATAAACTGCTTAACCTCAGTGGTCTCCTTTCCTCCCATTTCCTTTGGAAAAAAGAAAAGCAAGGTGAAACACCTGAGAGGTCACAGCTGGTCTGAAATCATTTCGTTTCAACACTTATTCAGATAATCTCAGAGGCTTTGTTGACATTATCTGATAATGTTTGTAATCCATCTTTCCAAATGGAGGGGCCACCAAGCTGTCAAGCAAGAGATCGGAAGCCTGAGGTCACCGCCTGACTGTCACGGCCAGCACTCACGACCAGGACAGCTGCCTGCACCGGGCTCCTGAAGCATCTCTAAAGGGTAATATTTACAGTGCTGGTAGCTGGGCACTGTGGCGCTTAATGGGATGCTTAATAGAAGCAGCTTTCATTAAGACAGGGAGCACACACAAGGTGCCCTTGCTTTTGAGGAAAGGACACGACGGATGCTCCCCCTCAGCTTTGAAGCACATGGGTCAAGTGCCTTGTCATACATTAGCAGCCTTTTTAAGTTCCTGGGTGGACTAAGAGGAACGGCTTAGATAAATGGAGGCAGGGGCATCGGGAGGCCTGTCTTGGTGGCACAAATGCTGAGACGCAGCAGCTGCATTTAAACAGAGTAATTTGCTAAATGAGTGGTTGGCACTTTCCAGATGGCCAATGTGACATAGGGCTTGGATGAGTCCTTTATTCAATCGTGTTCTGTCTAGACGGAGACAGGAAAGACCAGGTTACAGGCACTGCAGCAGCAGCTCTGAGACCCTGACATAAACCACGCTCAGTATTGCCAGCGAGGCAGGCTGGCCAGACATCAGCTGGAGAGGACTCAGCATGACATGTGTGGAGCCTCAGCGAAGGTCAGCGTCTCGGCTGAATGATGGCCAGCTCGGAACAGGGCCTCTCGTTGCCCATCTGCCTACTGCTTCCCTTCATCCACCTGCCGAACGCACAGAGGTGGGTGATCTTAATAGGAAGAGGCACCAGTGTGAGGTTAGAAAGCAGAAATATCTATTGTAGCCTATGTGTTTTCTTTATGTGCACTTCTAAATCATTTCACGTATGTTTTGTCTTGAATTTTAGTCAGGTTGTACAATTCCCAAGGCAGACGAAAGAATATTCTTAGCGTTTCCCCATAACCTCACGTGGCCTTCCCTTCTCACTGCCTCTATCTCTTAATTCAGTCCTGGCTTGAGTACATCTTTAAAGGTGATGGCTCAAAGACACTGGCTGAGGCAGCAGTGGGTAGACCAGATGATCACTCGGTTCTGGGGCCTCTGGGTCTGTGATTCATGTAGATCAAATGATTTAAACCAGGTCAGGTAAAATGGAATCACTCGATGGGCATCTTGCCCAACTTTAATAAAATAGGCAGCCACAGGACTTCACTGGCTGGACTGGGGACCACAGAACTGCAGCTCTACTGACCTATTTCTCTCTGGTAAGTTATACCCCAGGCCTATTTGTTATTATTGTGTTGAAAGTTTCCATGGGGGAGGGTTCACTGTGTTCTCCAGCAGCTATTCTAGTGTCAAGCCTGGAATGTTCTGACCAGTCAGTAAACAAGTCTGCTTGTCACACACCCCCTCCCCCCCTCCCAAACCACACTGGATGGCAGTTTCTGTTTAGGCAGTTCTGTTTATTTCTGACTCAGGAGGAAAACTTTAACCCAATGACTCACCAACAGCACTTCCTGTGACACTCTGGGGAAAACTACAGTTGGCTTAGGAAGAACTTCGAAGCACTTCACTGAGTATGGTTTCTGAGCTACACAGGGTGGAAAAATTTGAGTCCTGCTTTGTGCTGTATACCAAAGCTTTTGCACCAACATTGTTCTCTCTTGGAAGTTTCCTGTCATCAGTGCTATATCTGCACTATAGTCAGCCTGAAATATTAAATAAAAGAATTAAACAAACAGGGCTGTCCTAAAGGAGGGTATAGCATTATCCCCTTCTCAGCCTCACCTAGATATCACTGACCATCTGAGCCCAGTTTCCTCATCTGTACCACAAGGCACAAAAAATGATGAGGGACTATTCTTTTTTTCCCCAATTCTCCTCTGGATGGTACATAACCAGCATTGTTTTAGAAGCACAGGTGAGAAGCAAATCCATAGCCCAGGGATGCCTGTGGGCATAGTTGGCCTAGACTTCATGGAGGGAGGTCTTTATAGCAAGGGCGCAGGCGATAGAAAGGGAGTTATTCTAGTATCTAGAATATTCTACTTGTAGATATGCCAAAAGGTCAGAGCAATATAAAGTCGCTGAGCTCTGAGATAGTTACAGATCTGTTCAAGTTCTTGCAATGAGGAAATAGCTCAGAAAGGGTATAAAAGTTGATTATTAACTTTCTGAAGAAACAGGTTTCTTAGTATGCTGACCATAACATTGACGAATGTTATCTACTGATCTTTAAGTGGATGATGCTGGGCCAGATGTAATACTCTAAAGAAGCTCAAAGATGGTCACTCATCAAGACAGAGTTTGGTATGACGATGATGAACCAAGTCCCCCTCGCCTGTGTTAGCATATGGCAAACGTCGCTCCCCTGTGCTGAAAGTGACTGGGTCCCCGACTCTAGGAAGATGTGACCAATAAGAAGAATGTACAGGGCTGGCCGGGTGGCTCAGTTGGTTAGAGCACGAGCTGAGCAACAGGGTCACCGATTCGATTCCCACATGGGCCAGTGAGCTGCGCCTGAGCTGAGCTGCCAATGGGTGGCCGGATGGCTCAGCTGGTGAGAGCACGTGCTCTTAACAACAAGGTTCCCTTCCCCAATTCCTCAACACTGTTCCCTTCCTCAATTCCCCAATAAAATCTTTAAAAAAAAAGAAATATGTGCAATGGACTATTCCTCAGCCATAAAAAAGAATGAAATCTTGCCATCTGCGACAACATGGGTGGACCTAGAGGGTATTATGCTGAGTGAAATAAGTCAGAGAAAGACAAATGCCATATGATTTCACTTATATATGGAACCTAGAAAACAAAATAAATGAATAAACAAAACAGAAACAAACTCATAGATACAAAGAACATTTTGATGGTTGCCAGATGGGAGAAGGTTTAGGGATTGGAAGTGGGTGAAAAAGGGGAGGGATTAAAAAGTACAAATTGGCTGTTACACAGTAGTCATGGGGATATAAAGTACCACATAAAGAATATAGTCAATAATATTGTAATAACTATATATGGTGTCAGATAGATATTATATTTATCAGGGTCATCACTTTGTAAGATATATAAATGTCTACTATGCTGTACACCTGAAATGAATATAATATTGTATGTAAACTGTAATTGAAAAATGAAAAATTATTTTTTTTAAAAAGGTGTATGCAAATTGTGAAGATTTTGAAAGCCACCAAGGATGATCAGGTGACATTGGGTGACAAGATAAGCGGAGCCTGCCTTCTGCCTTATAAATAAGCTTGTTTCTCTTTCAGGCATAGTGCACGGCTTTGCTAGATGGTAGCACGCGATCTTTAATGCTCCATTCACTGTCAGGCTTTATCTATCCTAAAGATAATTTGATTTTTAAAATGAGCATCAAATGAGAGCTCAAATATTGCTTGAAAATGTCATGACTTTTTAACATTCAAATATAGTTCCACAAAGAGTCACCCATGATTGACATTTTATCTTATTAAGTGCTGCTAAGTAAGAACCATAGCTACTAGCAACAACCATTAAAGCAGCCCACAACACAAACTATTCCTGAAATAAAATGCGACTCATTTGCTTAGAGCCTCAATCAAAGGAAGACAGTAGATTGGTTCATTCGCATCTAGTCCACTAGGGGGCAGCGAATGACCGAGTTTCCAGCAGGCCGGCGTCAGTGCTGGTTGCTATATATACACCTGAAGGGTGGCAGGCCTTCTGCACAAAGTGAGCAGAGCCGCCGCAGCGATGACAGGTGCAGAGAGCAGCCAGTTACTGCAACCAGCAGTCTGTCAGAGGATGAAGTGAAATGAATCATTTACATTTTTTTGTTTTTTTTACCAATGAACTTGCATGATAATGAACAAGGTAGTGTCATCCGCATTAGGCCCTGGCTTTGCTTCCTGGCTTCTGCTGGACAGCTGCCACAGTCACCAGGCTGACAGCACCCAGGACTACAGCAACATAGACAGGCAGAGCCAGGGGCCCGATTTTCCAGCTGTTTGGGGTTGGTGACCTTAGAGGCAGACTGAGTGTGGGGAGGTGGGTCACTCCTTCATACCATCCCCGTGACAGCATCCATTGGGGAAATTCCAGGCCTAGAAGCTGCATAGCATAAATCCAGGGACACCAATCCTGTGGTAGTCTGTGTGACTGGCGCCCCCTAGAGTTGAGAAGTTCGCAGATCAGTCCCTGCTCCCAACACGAGGGGGCTCTGGGCTGCAGGTCTCCACAGAGAACATGGGCTCTCTCCTCTGTGCCTTATTTTTTAAATTATCTGCATTAAAAGGCTTCCAGGGAAGTAGAGAGAAAGGCAACCCCTGAGCAAAATTAGGAACCGGAACCAATCCATTTCAGCATCTCAGTTCCTTCTTCCTCTGTCTCACTCAGTGATTCAAGAATCTGCTGCCCTTTTGACATTCTACCTGTGCCCTGTTCAAACTGCTCTTTAAGATTCTAGGGATGGCTGGGTGGCTCAGTTGGTTAGAGCGCGTGCTCTTAACAACAAGGTTGCTGGTTTGATTCCCTCATGGGATGGTGGGCTGCGCCCCCTGCAACTAGACTGAAAACGGTGACTGGACTTGGAGCTGAGCTGTGCCCTCCACAACTAGATTGAAAACAACAACTTGACTTGGAGCTGATAGGTCTGGCAAAGACACACTGTTACCCAATAAAAATTAAAAAATAAAAGATTCTAGGATATCGAACCATTCAACTCCCGTTGTGTTTACATCACTCTTTGTCCTCTCCCATGGGAATTTGCTTTTAAGCCTTATTTTTAATTGCCAGACAAACTCAGATCCCTCCCTCCTGGCCCCGTTTCTTCACCCATTTACCTGGGAACATCCCTTTTGTTTTATTAGAAAGTTAATAAAGCAGAGTGGTTAAATGCAGAGTCGGATCAAACTATGGGGGTTCACATCCCAGCTGTCACCTAGCAGTAGCATGTAAACTCGGGGAAATGGTGTGATGTCTCTGTGCCTCCGTTTCTCCATCCTCACAATGGCACTAATAGCATCGCCCCCTAATGGTGTTGGGAGGGTTGAATGGAGTGTTGAGCACAGCCCAGGCTGGTGAGACAGCACTCCACACGTGTTACCTGTTAGTATCGTATTTATTGGACACAAAGCTGTATTCCTTTTCTGGTTTCCCATTCATTTCGTCTCGGCCTTGAGACACAGGTGCCCCTGCCCTCTTCCGTCCCCTCGCTTCTCCCTGTGAGGATGGCAGATGGTCTCTGGCCCCGAGTCTGTGCCTACAGCGCTCCTTCCACCCTCCACACCTACCTGATCATCACCTGCAGAGTATCAGGCACCTGTCAGCGTCCTCATAACGAAAGCAAAGGATATAAAAAACAAAACTCAAACTTCAGGCATCAAGAACAGTGTCCTTCATGACTTCCCCGTGTTCTGTTTGTAGAACGATCTGGAAATGGGCACTCGTTTACTTCGCCCAGATCAGAAGTGATTCCAGATTCTCTTCATCTAATCGTCTATTTCCACTGTGCAGGGTCGTGATTAAAATAAGGAACTTATTTGTAATGCCAGTGTGGGAGCAGAGAGAAGACTTTAAGGAGATGCTTGGGCTGATGAACCCTCTGTGAAGTAAACTTCAAATGATGCCCCGGGAAGGAGGGGGGTCCCTCACACGGACCCGGATCACTCAGAGTGGGGAAGGGACGATTGGCTCCCCAATCCCAGTGTATGACATGGAGAGGGAGGATGTGCCTTTTAGAGAGAGGCCCAGCTTTTGTGGGGAAATAAATGCTTTGGGTAGATGGCTGGCTCCAAGCCTCTGGGTGCCTGCTGGCTGGTTCCAGGAGCAGAGGGAGGGAAACCAGCCCGAGGGAGGGAGACTGGGGCCTGCGTGTGTGGGCAGGAGGGGTGCATGAGGCAGGGGGCTGAGAGGCGAAGGAAGTGGCAGGTAGGCAACCGAGCGACAAGACCCAGAAGTGTGACATTTCCTAGTGGTTCCTCAAATCTTCAGTAATGTCTACCAAAATCGCAAAACGCTGGGGGCAGCTGGATTTCTGGACAAAACCAGTGAAAGGGCTGAGTGGCTGCAAGAGGTAGAGTCCTGGCCAATACATAGGAAATAATATTAACACTACAACTACCAGGTGTGTTTGACATCAGGTGGCCACAGTAAACTGGGCAAATAATTCATCAGTTTGTAGCGAATTTATTTATTGCTGTTTTATTTCCAAAGACAGAAAGGACCTATTAGAGACATTCTTGCTTGTGTCACTTTCAGAAATCTATACGTCTTATAAACACCTTAGTTAATATCTTATAGATGCCATGAAACTGCCAATGGATGTTGTTTCCTTCTTTTTCTCTGGCCTCCAGGAAGCTCAAAGGGAAATACGTTGATTTCTACCAATTGTTTAGGGTATTATGGAATATATTTTATTCATGGACTATGTCTTCCAAAATATATTTTTCTGTGTATGTTATCCTTTTTATTCATCGCTGTCAACATCCCCAAATCCTCTTTTTGACAATGTGGTTACTAATAAACAAAAACACAAATAAATACAATTTTACCTATCCTGAAAGTTCTTACACTTTAACCTTTTACTGCACAGAAGAAGTATATTGTGATATAAGGTCTTCTTTCTCCCTAAATAAATTAGGAAATAAAACTGTTTGAAAAAACTCATTTGAAACACTTGTTTTTATCAAATACTACTTTCCATGTATCAGGTCAGACAATTAAGTTCACGAACTCATCCTAGAAAAAGTGCTGCATACCTCATTGCTGAATATCACTATGGTTACCTTCAAAGTACTCCCCTTGGGAAGCTATGCACCAATGCCAGCACCTAGTCCACCCTTCAAAGCAATTTTGAAACACTTTTTCTGGAATGGCCATCAGAGCTGTCATCGTATTACCCTTGATGTCCTGCATGTCATCGTATTACACTTGATGTCCTGCATGTCATCGAAATGTCTTCCTTTCAATATTTCCTTTATCTTTGGGTAAAGAGAGAAGTCATTGGGGGCCAGATCAGGTGAGTAGGAGGGTGTTCCAATGCTAAAAATTCCCTCACAGACAGTGCCGTGTGAGCTGGTGCCTTATCATGATGTAAGAGCCATCAGTTGTTGGCGAAAAGTTCAGGTCGTTTTCGTCTTTTTCACGCAGGCTTTTCAGCCCTTCCTAATAATAAACTTGGTTAACTGTTTGTCCAGTTGGTACAAATTCACAATGAATAATCCCTCTGATATCAAAGAAGATTAGCAACATTGTCACAACAAGTTCACGAACTTAATTGTGAAAACGTGTAGGTCTGTCATCTGTCTGTTTGTCACATCTTTGCACCTGTGTCATATCACTTTCATTTACTGTAACTTAATAGCATGTTTTGATATCTGATAGTTTAAGTCTTTCCTCATTATTCTATTTTCAGCATTTTCTTGCCCATTTTTACATATTAACTCTTCTACATAAACTTTAGAATAGACGTGTTGTGTTCCCAAACAATCTCATAG